TTTGTTTATTTTGATTTATTAATTTATTCAAAAAAATTTTTTAGTCTCAGAGCCCCATTTTCCTAGCAAACCTCCCAAATAATAATACTTTAATATTACCTTTTATCTAATTTTTCATTTAATAAAGGTAAAGAAAAAAGTGTTACCCAATTTCGCCATTCAACTGCTTTAAAGCCTGTATAGTGTTTATATATATTTCGAAGTAATCTACCTATATCTAAAGGCATATTTTTTGAAATTTCTTTTATTTTATTTTCAATTTCTTCCTATATACTATTATTTATTTCATATATATTTGAATTTTCAGAATTATTTTTAAAAAATTTTCATGACCAATGAGCAAACATTAAAGGTGTAATATTTTCAAAAAAAAGATACATTATATCGATAGGAAAAGACCAAGGAAATTTTAATGTTTTTATCTCAAGAAGTTTGCTAGTTCCTTTTATTCCTAATTAATGTATAAATTTATTTAAATATTAAAAAAAAATATTTTTAATATATTAATTATAAAAATTATACTTACCATAATTTTTAATTAACTGTTCCTTTTTATGTTTATTATCAATAGAATCTATTTGTTTTATTATTTCGATTATTTCATTATGATTTCTTAAAGAAGGAAAATAAGAATGGTCCACATGAGAAGTATTTAAAGGATAATATATATAATTATTATGAATATGACAAGTTCCTTTTAAATTACAAAAACGATAGCTTTATAAGAATTATATCCTGTAAGATTAAGTGATTTGCTTATTACTGGAATATCTTCAGTCCAAAAAAGTAGATGACTTTTAATAAAAATTCCTCATTCTTTAATCCATCATAACATATTACACCTGCTTTAATAAAAAAAAAAAATTTTAAAATTATTTCTTTAAAAAATAAAATATAAATTAAATTGCTAACCTTCTAATTTCTTAAGTTCAGTAATTAAAGGATACAAAAAAGTATTAAAATCTTTAGGAGATTTAGGTTCTGGAATAATTATTGATAATAATAAATTATGTCTTTTAACTCGAATACAAGGATTCAAATTATTGTTAATTATTAAAATAATCCAGCAATCATCAGTTTTCTGTTTAAAATTTGGTATCCGTCACAAGAACCTGTCAATGACAATATCTCTTTCATTATTAAAATAGCCTAGTTCACATAGCTCTTTATATAATCTATTTTAAAAATTAAATTAATAATTTTTTTTATAATTAA